CTACTCATGCAGGGCAGGGATGATTTGTATCATCTGGCTTCTGTCTGGAAGTTAGACCTCATCTGCAAATTTGTCGCCACTGAAGGGTTGTGTGTGTGTGTATATATATATAAGTGGAATGCAGTTTTACCATAGGAATCATACTGTAATTTGCCAATTAATTGCACTGATTGAAAATACTTTCTGTTTGTGCTCACCTTTTAGAAAATTTTGGTAAACTGTTTAACTGTTCCGTACTGTATGTACACATACATGAATATTAGTGTTTATCTGGTGGTCATAAGTGTGCAAGTCTGTGCACTGCCTTTGATTTGTAAGCCTACCTTCTGTTCATATTAATGGATATATCAGCAGGGATACCTAATTAATAAACAGGAGGCTGTGATTTTGCAATTACCTCAACTATGTTAGACCTGTAGGATGTAATCTACAGGCAGCACTGAGAAGAAGTACTGAACCACCAGGTCTGTACTGCTGCATACATGAGGCTTGTGAGCAGTGTAAGCAGAAGTGGTTTCCCTCTGTTTTGCTTAACTTCTAGCATTGTGTTCTGCACAGCTAGAAAATGGTGCTATACTAAATATTTCTCCCTGTCCCAATTGGCTTCTTTAATTCTCTGCATTGTTACCTTTTTCCCGTCAGTGTTTCTACCTCACCACTGCTTCATAATAAAGCAGTTTGTTAATCAAAGAACCAGTCTTAACATCCATTGAAGTCAGTGGGTATCTGTCCTTTGATCCAAATGTCATCTCATAGTTTTTCATTTATTCAGAGGTCTTTTATACCCATAAAATCCAATTTATCAAAATTAATTTCTCCATTCCCTTGGGCAATTTTAGCCATGAAAATGCCATGCTGCATGAACAACAACAACAAATGGTTATTTTTATTGCGTTTTTGTTGTTGTTTTGTTTTGGAGTTTTGTGACAAAAGAAAATTAACTTGATTTAGCCGCAGATTATAGTTCTTAGGTGAGCCCCAAGGAACAAATATCAACTTAGGGATCTGACTTGAAGAAAAGGTTTAGGAATATAAAAGAATGAAGGAAGACAAAAGAATAGTGCTTTCATAGCAAGAGAGAGAGTTTTCTCATTTTATTAATCATTCAGGCAAAACTTAGAGCTAGTTTAATTAAAAGGCTATGCACCATTTCTACACAAGATAAGACGATTTTACATAAAGTAAGTATGAAGCACACACAAAAAAAGCCCGCAGCATATTCCCTAGCCTGATTGCATAGCATCTCATTTATGAAGCAGGATTGGACCCAGCCAGGTCTGGAGCAAAAGCTCCAAGGAAAACACAAGCACTATCTAAAGAAAATGGTGTTGCAATTAAGCAGAGATCACCGCACTCTGTGGAGCAGATCTAGTCTCATGCTTCATGGCACCAGCCTCAATACAGGTACAGTTACTCCATCTTCCAGAGTGTGTAATAGATCCCAGATCCAGAGGAAGGTGAAGGTCTAGAGACTTCCCATGCAAACTAATGAAATTATAAAATGGAATAATCTTCTGATTGTGATATGCAAATAAAGGAGGTAAAGTTTCAATCTGCCACAGCAGAGCTTTCCTTTTGTTAGCTTTTGACAAGATGTGTTAGAGCTACGGTGTGCTGTAAAATATTATAGTCTATTTTAACAGCAAGTATCTTTCTTTTATAACTCTCCGTATCCTGGTGGTATTCCAGTGTATCCTTGGGTGTATCATTCCTGTTTTTCTTTTCTAGAGTGTTAGGTGAAATGTTCAGCCATACAAGGGGGAGAGAATATCATATATTCTATTGCTATGACTTTGAACAACGTAATTTTAAAAATGAATTAATTTTATGAAAATAAATACAATAAGAAACATTAAATGCATGAAATGTGAAATACAGCTAGCTCATTATTATAGCTAATATTATAAGGAGAACAAAAAATTACTCAACAAAAATATATATTCTTGGAGTCAATATTATCACCAAAATCATATTCGTACCACTTATTGTTTCTTCTGTGTACCTTCTTGGTGGCTAAATGTATCCTGAAGACCATCTGGCCTTTTTATTGGTCAGCTGCTTCAAATTCTTCCTGGGTCAGTATCAGAGTAGCTTTGTTCCTATAATCTTACGTTAATATTTTGATTCCCACTGTGGACCACTTTGCAGCCTAGAATAAGCTTCCTGTTGCTGTAATAGATGGTAAGGAAAACCCCTGCTTCCAGTGACACGGCCACACAATAATTTTGTGGATTTCACAGCAGCAAAGGACTTACGTATGCTGCCCTTGTCTAACCTCCAAGGCTTGTTCCAAGCTGCTTCAGGTCAGCCCAAATCTGTTGAGATGATGGCAAGAAGCAGTGCACTGCTCAAGGCTCCTCTGAGTCCAAACCTAGAGGGAAAAGGCTACCTCTCTTTTAGACCACAGAAACAACCATAAAACACAAAAGCCTCACGAGCTTTTCAGTTTTTCATTTTTTAAGTAACTACTGCAGCGGCGACTAGGAACATGAAGCAAGAGGAAAAGTAGCAGAAACAAAGCCTAACCACATGTGCCAGTGAACTGTGGCCCCCCAGAGCAGGCAGAAGTATGCTGTCTATGAAGATGCTCTCAATTCTCTGCTTATGCTCTCCTCCCACGTTTCTTGCACCAAATACTTTTAATGACCGTTTCCTTCAAGAGGAAGGAAAACCAGAGAGATCATAGGAAGGGTCAAAATATAAAACAAAATACTTTTTTAACACTAATTGGTTTGGAGTGATACTTCAGGCTCTTTTCTTTCTATTTCCTTTAAGTGAAATTAAAGAAGAAAGCAGCCTTTTTTTCACCTGCCATGAAGGCAGTTACTGGTCCTTGATAGCTCCTCCATTTAAATGGATGTTGTGGCTGCTTAGTACTTCTTGAGATGGATGTGTCACACCACCTTTTAACCCTAATTTATATTCTCAAACAAGCCTAAAGGGATCTTACATTTTTTAACTTACAGTGTTTGATTTCATTGTTCAAAGTTTTGTTCTTTTATAGCTTCCTTCTGGACAAGAATTAGATGAGAAAGATCTTCAGAGGATATCAAGTACAATATCGTTGTTGGTTTTTGGGAAAATCAGGGCAAAATAGGGAAAAAAAAGTCTTAAAGAAAAGTACATGCATTTAATATTCTTAGAGCTTGCTTTGACAAAGCTTTTAAAAGGTGACCTGCATAAAAATTTCCTTAAACTGCTTTCTTTTAGACATGTAAACATACACTTTTCTAAAGCAATTAATACATTTTGTCTTTGCTCAGCTCCTTACTTCTAAGGTTGGAACCAAGTTCTTAAAGCTTCATATGGATACACACCAAAAAGCTATTTGTCAGTATGTGTAATCGTGGAAGGTGATGTATACAAAGGTGAAAACACCATTTGTCATCACAGTCTAGCTTAAGGATGATTTGTGCCTTGGGAATAAGGCAATACGGGCAATTTTTCTTCTCATTAGCTACTTTATTCATATCTGCAGGGGCTGTCAGAAACATGCATTTAATAACACTCAGCAATCTGTGTGTTAATAAATAAGTCTTCTTGAATCTATAGAATATCTTAAAAGTCATAGTTGTGAAGAAAATGCCTTTGGCGATGAACAATTTGACCTCTCAATTGGCACTCAAAAAAAAAAATAAATAAAAAATAAGAAAACCAGAATTAATCTATGATGACTTCACTGGTTTTTACTTATCACATAGGTATTTTTGTGTGAATAGAAAATTCCCCAGTTTTAGTTAGAAAACAAATGAACAGCAGCAACAACAAAATCCACAACTATAAGTTGTCCAGTTTAGACAGTGTGTTACTGAAGCAGTGGGAAAGTCCAGGGAGGTGCATACGTGGTTGGTTATCAGTATTAAACAACTTGAATGAATCATCAGAAAAACTGGATGACTTCAGCTACCCAAGTACAAGAACATGCATTGCCTGTAGGCTATTGCAGCTGTTATAAAACAGAAATAATTATCTTGAGAGGAAAAAAAATCATCCACATATATTTACTAATATATATGTTCATGACATCATTGAAAACATACCTAAAAGTTTTAGGATAGTAAAGCCATTTTCTATTGTAAATTGTGTCATGCCTGCTCATACTTTCTGTAGCCTCAGAAAATCTAGGTCCGTGTGCACTCTCACTGTCACAGTAATCTTTTAAAAGAATTTTATTTTTTATTCTAACTACACTGTTGTAAGAGCTATCATCTCTATTGCACATGTGAGGAGCTGTAAGATCCTCAGAAGCACATAAAACCCATCAGAATGAGGGTATTCACTGCAGCCTTCAATTAAAACTTTCAATCATCAGCTGGAGTTCATGACTTGGGATGCCACAGGCACCTGTGCCATCTTGATTCAAATGTTTTGTTCTGTTTTGTTTAAGGAATGTGCTTTAAAGGTTTGCTAACTTGATCATAATTTAATAATTGTGGTATAAGCAAGAGAAAGACATCTAGATGAAGATGTAAATACAATGGGTATCAGTAATAGATATAAAACACCATTAAACCTTTTGCTCATATTGATGGATGGATTTGATGTTCTTGAAGGTCTTTTGCAAACTATTCTACAATTCTATGAATCAGGCAGCTGTTCTTTTGTTTATTTTTGCAGCAGTGTTGGTAGTGACCAGTGTGCCTGGCTTCATCTAGCATACAAAACCCTCGTCCAGAAATCTTTGATGTCCTTCTTAGCCTGAGGAAGTTCAAACTTTCATGTGCTGAGGCACCACATCCAGGTTCAAAAAATAGCCCTTTGAAGGCAAACAATGTGTGGGAGCCAGAAGAGGGTATGAAGAGGAGGCAGGCTGTCTCAGCTGATAAGGGAGCATCTCTGACTAAGAATAAAGATTTCTTTTCCAGTTTTGGCTCTCAGGATCTATTTTTTTTTGAAGAGCCATTGAGTGTCACGTTGGAGTAAAAGTACCAGTAGCTGCTCTTTTCTGTGCTCAGCTTGTATTTCTGTGTACTAAAGCCATCCAAATCTGTTAGGCAGACTTAAGATTCCATTTGTTTATTCAAGACCCTCAGGTTATGTCCGTTCTCATATATTAAACAGCATCCAGGAATATTATTAAGCCCCTGAACGCAATGTCTGTTCTCCCTTAGAGCAGTCCTTGGCCTGCTTTTTACCCATGCTGACTCTCAAGTAATGCAGGGGAACAGTTCAGGAGTTAGTGTGACATAGAGCCCATCACTGGAGTGCCATTTGTAGGTAGTGTCTCTTGTTGCATGAGGTTTAACATCATGAATACAGGGCATTCCCTGCCAATTGGCCTCGTTGCCAGTGCTGGCACATTTCATTTATTAGCATTGATGCAGCTTCAAGGAGTTTAAGCACAGAGGGTGTCTATACTGAATTTTTAACATGTATGAATACATGCTGGGTTCACCTCATCTGCAGCAGGTGAAATGCAGGTGCCTCAGAAGGACTTTATGGATCACATTCTTGAGTTGAAGACTTGAAGGTGCTTTTGGGTCTTTCTTCCTTCCATCCTTCTGTCCTGTTTCGTTCAGTGGTATGACCAAGATTACAGACCAAGTATGAGCTTGAAGACCATATCTCCTAATTTTTTTGCCTCGTATCTTTACCATTGTTTCATTCCTAAATTCTGTATTAAAAAAAAACATGATGTGTGTGTTTGTTATTTCTCTGTGTAGGAAAATGCTACCGTTCTCCTGCGAGCTGAGATCTCAGCTGTAATAACATTAGCTCTAGAAATGGCAGTCTCTTTTTACTCCCAACCCATATACACTGCTAGTAGTGAGAGAAATACCTTTGCTTGTCCCTCTGAAGGAGACCAGCAGCCTTGGCTGGAAACAGGCATGTAGTGGCCAAGCTTCAATGCACCCAAATGGTGCATTACACATGTTCCAAGATAGGACGACTGTGCCCAAGTGCTGCAGAAAACCCCAACTCTTGGAAACTTATATCTGAATCTACAAAACAAATCTAAAATCTGAAAAAATGCCAACTTGACTTCCTCTGGTTTTTAGATGCATATTTGAATAAAGTAAGAATTTATTCTGATTTCTTTTGTTAGTTTAGCAAAGTCACTCAGCTTGCTAAGTTTAGCAGGTTTCCTCCTTTCTGAGGTGGAAGTAGTACTATACTACAGAATTGTTAAGTGTAATGTTTTATTGTGGTGATGTATCCAGACAAAGAACACAGCTTGACTTTCAAACTTCATGCACGAGTTTGCGGTGCTAGCAAGTAGGAAAAGGATATTTGTACATGCAAGCTGCAAGTCTTATCTGGGCATCGCTGAGAGATAGTAATCTTGGGACCTTATGACGTTATGTTACAGAGATAGAAATGAAGGGTAACAGCAGTTGTGTGAAACTTTGCACAAATCTAGTAGAAGATCAGATGGCTTGTTTTTAAAAGGAGGGAAGGAAGACTATTTATTTCCTCCCAGAGGAACTTCTACAAAGCTATTGTCCTTATCAGAAGAACACCTTTTTCCTGAATGTTATCTCTCTGACATTTGTTCTGTATAACCTAATGAGGGCACGTGGAACACCATGGAAATGAGTTATTGTTGATTTAATACAATTATAACTTCTGTTTCAAAGTTGGTATTTTGAGTTTTCATTTTGCCTGTTGGTGACCTTGGGCTATTTCATAGGCAACAGCAAGAAACAAAAAAATGGCACTACTTCTCATTCGTAGACTGCTAAGTGATTCAGTTATCTAGAAACTGTAGCAGAGATTCATACATACATACATAGCTTTTCTTCTCTGAGGAGCAGAGTGTTGCTTGATCTCCCCTCCAACTGCCTTTTCTGCATAAGGAAGGGATCCAGGAATCCCCCTATGTATAATCAATGAATATAAAGACGTTATTATGTTAGTATTTGTTATTATGAAATAAACAAGAGATTTGGCAAAGCAGATTATAATAACAAAAAGAGAATAGATAGAATACTTACCTGCATCCTGGGCTTAATGCAAAACTCCAGAGAGGGGATCTCCAGAAGAGATCCTTTTCCCCGGTAGTCAGCTCTTAAATGCGCCTAGGAGAGGTGCAGCCAGGCTCCACCCCTTCTGGCAGCACAGGAAAATTGCCTTCACCTTTGCTCCTGTGGCTGACTCATTGCTCACCTCTGGTGATCAATCAGAGGTTCAGGCCATGATTCAACAGTTTCCATATGCCCTACAGCATGATTGGCAAGAAGACAGCAACAAGATGGGATACGTGAAGCAGGAAGGGGCTTCCTTCTACCAAATGTTTAGAGAATGTTGCAAACCAGGTTGTTCATTAGTCTTAGCAGTATTGGCATAAGAATGTGGTCCTTCCAGAGCAAAGAGGCTTGCAGTGACGGCCAGGGACTGGGAATGAGCTCAGCTATGCCTCTGCTCCTCCTCCCATGACCAACCTGTCTGTGTTTGCATTTCCAGCACTAAACAAATAAGTGCAAGGGGACTTGAGGCTTGCAAACATTCACTATAAGCAGTGAAGCCTGGAATTTAACCTTGTTTGTATGTAGGGATAGCCTCTTCCCATCTTGGCATTGGAACAGAGGTATGTTAAATTCCAGGTCACAGAATGTGAGATTTTTGAATACCAAGGCTCAGGGAATACTTGACACGATCTCTTGAATCCTAAATGGCTGAACATCCATGGTCTGCTTTCATGACGCTAAAAGTTTTGCCGCTGCTGATGTTTTTTCTGTTCCTGTTTGCTCAGTAACTTGGGGAAAAGCATTCTCTAAACTCCTAAGAAGTGCTTCGAAGCAAAGATTTGTTTTAAAATACAGTATAAAAAAGAAAATGAAAAATAAGAAAAAAAAAAAAAAGCAAACTATATCCACAGAGCCACTCCTTGATACTTTACATGTACGTTTGCTTTAATAGCAAACCCTGAAGGAAGGCAAATTCCCAATGCTGCTGTTCTGCCAGAATCAGGGGACAGCTTCTATCCCATTAGGAAGAAAAATTGCTTCAGCTCTGCCTATCAGATAAATGATCATTCTGAGGAATTCCATCAGGAAACTGCTTCTTCTAAACCACCTTCTCCTCTTCACCATACTTGGCTACCGGGAAAACTAGGAGAGTCATCCACAGAGGGAAAGAAATCTAAGTGTAGTATAGGAAGGAATTTATTTTTCTCTGTTGTCATCTATCCTGGCTTTCAGCCAAGCAGATTTGGTCCCCAGCTGTTAGATAAGCTTAGTTATTAATCCCCATGCAGTCCAGCCACAGTGTGCTTCTGGAGACAGGGTGGTCCCCAAGAGCTCCTCTGAGTCTGGACCTGAAAGCCACAAGCCTTCACACGACTATCAGGCAGCCAGTCTCTGCTCTAGAGTGACCATTCTGGGGAGCTGAGATGATCAGCTCTAATTGCAGCTAAAGATAGCTTGTCTTTAACAAGCCAACACAGTTCTGGCTCAGAGAAAAGCTCCAGTTCTTTTCAGAAGCCAGCACATGGTCTGACAGTCTGTATCAGTGTCTTAAGCAGCATTTGTCCCACATCACCAGTTTCAGCCACATTTCTGCCCACGTACTGCCTATTCCTTTGATAATTTTTCAGACAGACAAATTCCTTTGGTTATTTTGTTCTACCGCCACACAAACAGCTGAGCTTATGCAGCACAGGGATCAGCACGGTGCTGACACTGTCACCTAGGAGAGAGCAGTCTTATAGTGTAACATCCTTTGGATTTTGTCCTTACATGGAGCTTCCATGTGATTTCTTCTAGACCTTGCTTTCTGGAGGGAGAGAAGGGAGAGAAGACAGTCAGAATGTGTTAGTGTCTTTGAAACCAGACGTTCCTAAGTAGCAGTTTATTCAGTATTTGATGAGCCATTCAGTCATAGGTTATACAGCTGGGGACAAATTCTTGCAGTCTTCTGCTTCTCAACAAGAATTCAACTAATTTCTCCTCTTAGTCAGGTTGGGGAAAAAAGGGCATATCTAGGGAATATAAAAACCTGCCATTTCTCATGTTCTCCATTCTGTAAACGTTTGCTTACTTCGTGGTGCAAATACCATATTACTTCCCAGAAGCCAAGGCTAGAGTTCTTTTATTTTCTACGGTACTAAGAATAAGCTTAGATACAAGGGCCATTAAAAAGCATACTCCTGCCACTTTGCAGGCCAGTTGTGCCTGCAAAGCAACTGATCCTCATGTCTCGATCAGCTGGCTCATGCCATAAGTCTCTCATACTTTTCCCATTCAATCTCAAAATATTTTTAATGTTTGGAAATCTCTGGCTTCAGGAAATTTCTTAGCAAGAGTTTCCACCTTTCAGCAAAGCTGGTTCTTAAAGCTGTGAAATTCTTCATCATCGGCTCCCAGAGTGAACCTGTGTGGAACAACAAGATCAAACAACATATCCAAGGACATACTGCAGACAATTTACAATAATAAACTGGTTGCATTAGTCTCAGAACAGCAATTCAAAGGATCCTAGGATTAAGCAAATACTGTATATGCCAGTTCATTTACACCATCTGCTGAAACGAGTATCAGAAGGGGGAAGGATAGTAGGCACATGGGACTGTGTGTTGAAATACATTTGGAAAAAGAAAATTGTTTCAGAAAGCTATGAAAACAAAAATCTGGGTGCTTACAAGTTGGCAGCCTGGAGAGGTAAGGAAGAATGATGTCATTTCATTGACCTCAGAGACTTGGTTTTTTCATTTACCAGTTTTTAAGAGTGGGAAGGTTGTGCAACTTAATATTGTTTACTCTGGAGTCTATTTCAGACTCATTAGGAATTTCTGTTTAACTATGAAAAACACAATTACAGAAATTATTATACACAAAATAGGAAGTAAGGATTTTTCAAATGTTTTTGGATTCTGTGAGTATACACAATGGCTTAGATGATTGGTTTAGAGGATGCAGTTGCTTACTGAAAATGTGTTGCATCGATCAGAATGAGTGACAAGCATTTAGATCCTTTAAGCTGATCTTTGGATCAGTAATGTTACTGAGGATGTTTTCATGTAAAATGAGATCAAAAGCTAAGAAACTTGGTTTTTCAGGCACTATTGTAAAATGTGTGTTAATCAAAAGATGATATTGGGTTTATATGATGTCAAACATGAAAACAGTAATATAAGGGAAAAAAGATCCCAGTATTCCAGTAGTCTGGGAAATGCAGGTGCATCTCTCTGGTATGTCATATGGCATATTAGCATATACCAACCCATTTCAGCCACTGAAAATATGTATTTATTTCTTCTCATTGATATTGCTTAAATATTGGATGTTACATTTTTTTTCCCTTATAATATAAATTGTTATAAGAAATGTAATTTAACAATCTGTGCAAAAGATAATGGCTGTGCAAGTCAAAAGATAATTGCAAAGAAGTTTAGCTTGGTGATAAGTGTCTTTCTCTGTGAGATGATGCATAAGAGCTGCAAACACAGCCCACTGTTAGATACTTTTCTGATTTAGACTCTGAGTTAGGTGCAAGAAAAAAAATTCTGTGCTCTTTCCTTTAGAGTTGAATTAGGGCTGCATTTTGGAGCATGATTATAGAAGAGTTCCTTAAACAAATGCAGCCAAAAGTAGTAATTGTTTAGACAGTTTCATTTGCAGTTCTCATAGTATCAGAACACCTCAAAATTACTGGTAAGTATCACTAATTCATGGCTAGGTGGTGTTAAAGAACCTAATGCATCAGCAGAGAATAAAGTCTGGCTTTGTGTATATCATAGGCCATTATGTGTTACTGAATTACTGCCAAGCTGAGCCCAGTGGTTTCCATTTCGCAGGGACATAACTGGTGTTTGGCAAGAGCAGAAAGTATCCTCACAGTACACATTTTGAATTATGGAATTTTTAGTTTCCTTATTATATAGGTGGGACACAGAGTAGTTCAGGGAACCATTAGAAGGCCTTTCTGCATTCTCTACCACGGGGTTATTTTCTGTGAAACAAACAACATGAACACCACAGGAATCTTAAGGCCCCAGTAACTCCTTCCTCGTAAAACTGACTTCTCCTAACACTAGTGGTGATAATGAGAATTTGATTATTGTTCTGTGGCTTGTGTGATATTTTCAGTCCTGGATGAAACACACTAAAAAGTTGTTCTGAAGACAGAGGATACATGACTGTGATCACACTAGCAGAAAAGTTCAAAATCCACCCTTGTTCTCTAAAACCACTGAACTGCCTGAAGAAAATTGATGTGTTGGTGTAGGCAAAATTACCCAAGCCGTATACTAGAGGTAAAATTTACATTGCCTTGCTCACATGAGAAGATGTAGATGGTAAATGTTTCTATAAATAAATTATTAAAAGCCAAATGTAGTTAGAGTTTCCAGGGACATTGTGAGTGCTCTGGAAATTGCAGCTGTGCTGCCCCCAGTGGTGCCAGCAGCACTGCACCCTGCCTATGTGCGTCAGTAATGAATGGATAGTGCTGTCTGCATGCAGTCAAATTTTGGCTTCCCAATCCAGAAACATAGGCTTGCCCCTTAGTCAAGCTCCTCTTCACCTCGGAAAACAAACAAGACTTCCCAATCACTGTGGCTCTACACACTCAGCAGTGCTCTGTCATGCATCCTGTGGGCTGCTGGATGGGCCTTGCCCACCTCACCTGAGGGGTAGATGCACCCATAATAGGGCTGCAGGTTCATTCTCATCAGTACTGACCCTTTGTGCACAATATCACCAAGCGATATAAATGCAGCCTGGATCAGATTTGAGCAAAATCACATTTCTGTCAAATTAGCAGAGTGTTTGTCGTGCGCTTAGGACTGATTTTGGTGGTAGCTGATCTTGTGCAGGAGTGGAAGTGGCAGGTGAAACCTCGTAAAGCAGGAAGCATAGCAATACAAAAGTAATCTGTTGGATAGTTTTGAGAAAAATTTGAACTGGTCAAGTTAATTTCTGCAAGAAGAGCTCTCTGCTTCATGGTGTCCAGGAGCCTTCCTGCTAGCGTTGGTGTACTGGTGAGCACAGCTTAGATGCACAGATATCAGCACTGGGAGCAGTGCTGCAGTGCAGTCGGTAGCACTGATACACACACTGAAGACCTTTTTCAATATTACTTCTC